AATAACGGCTTCGAGTAATGGCGTGTTTGAGCAGATCTTCTTCACCTTATAGGGATTACTAATTTGGAGTTTTACAGGTGCCGGGGTAAGTGGAATAGGGTTTGGTTTAAAAATATTACCGCTCTGACAAANGGTTTGGTTTAAAAATATTACCGCTCTGACAAAATTAATAGTGAATATAAGGTACCATAGTTTAAAATAATATACATGTATATAAATATGTTTCAATACGGTTATTGAATTATTTAAAAAATTGAATAATACAATGTAACATGGTAATGAACAAGGCTAGGCAATAACTCTTAAAAAGTTCCAATCTTAAATTAATTTAATTAAGTTGTTTAAATAACTTGTTACTTTTTTGAGTGATTTAACTTTTAACTTAGTTCTAGTTATTTTTTTAACTTAGATAATGTATTGACAAGAAGTTAACTTAGAATAGAAGTATTAGAAAAATTCTCTTAAGAAATTCAATTAAAACTTAAAGATGTCCACCAGTTTTTAATGGTTGCTGTTTTCTATACTGATAAACTGCCGATGAGTAGATATCAGCCAGTTACATTTAAAAGTCACTAAAAAATAAATAAAACAAAGAACGAATAAAAAAATATGATCAAACAATCCAAAATATTCATTAAATCACTATAAAGTGTTATAGAAAATTTGAAAAAACCTATTTTTATAAACTTTGTTCAATATATAAAAAATATTGAGTTTTCTACTTTTACAATTTTTTTTAGAAAATTAAATTATTATCTTTTCTTGTGGGAAAAATCTATTTGTAACTCTAAGCGCTTGTCAAATACAACAAAAAATATATAAATATTTCTATTTTGAAACATCTACAAAATTTTGTAACCTTATTTTTTGATCTCTTTAAAATTGAAAAACAATGACCGATAAATTAAGGAAAATGCTCTTGATATATCGAATATTCCATATATCAACTAACCGAAATGTCAACACCCCTATTACTTATTATTTAAGTTTACATAAAATGTTATTTACAAAACACAATTATTGTTTATCATCGATAAAGTAAAGTGTTGAATAAATAAATTTATGATAAAAAACATGAATGAATAAATATTAATTATAGTTTTCAATTACAAGTCATATTCAATGTATTGTTTTTGAACAGATTACTTTAAAAATATAATAAAATACTTAGAAGCTTTATTATTTTATTTTTCTGTTATGAAAAATTGCGAATCAATGAATACTTAAGATTAATATTCATTTAGACTTCTAGTAAGATAATGTAACACAACATGTGCTAATTTTAATTTGTGAATATGACTTATCTTTTAAATATTATGTAGTCTTCAAAATATATTAATTAAAGTTGCATAACAATACTATTATTTACTTATTCAAAAATGTATGTCAATTACAAAATACTAGCAAAGATAATGAATAAAATCATAACTTAAAGTTATGAGGCATAGTTTAGTTATTTCTATTAAAACTGCCATATCAACTCATTTTAAGACGTCCAAGGGCACAGATTTATCTTAACATATCCATCCTAAATATTGAACTGCTCATTTTTATGTATATTAAAAAAGCATAAGGAGGTAGCGTTAAACAAAGATCGAATAATCATTTGTCCTTCGGAATGCTTGATTTTAAACCGATTTGTCTATTCTTAAACGAAAGGAGCTCGATAGATCCCGCGTATTAAAGGAGTATACAAAAAAGGAACATTTAATTCTGGCTTATAATTTTAACGACCACGCGGTGTGTTTATCGTGAAACGAAGTTTATAAACTGTTATTTAATTATATTTACTTTTGTGTGAATTTGCTTGGATACCAAATAAGCTAACTTAAAGTAAATAATTTTGAACGAATCACGGCGATTTTTGTGTTTTGAAGAGCAATTAAATTTTTAAAATCCTCGTAAAAAACGTACCAGTTGTCTGTATACAGACCTTACCGTCGTATATTGAATCATTTTTGGCAGACGAAAATCACGAAATGTTTACCAACACCGTATTGGTCACCGATCGGTCAGAAACATCAAATGCTAAAGTTCCCTATGGAGCCAAATTAAAAAACAAACGAAACAGTACTACCGATTGTGACTTAACGCTTACAAAAGTCAAACGGCTTTCACAGGACACCCCATATTCTTGCATGTCCAAAAAACCAATGCATGTATATAATTATGTTTCAATACGGTTATTGAATTATACAATGTAACATGGTAATGAACAAGGATGGGCAATAACTTTTAAATCACGGCGATTTTTGTGTTTTCAATGAAATCAAAGCCATCGGCTACCGGACTGATAAAAAACAACCGAAACAGTATTACCGATTGTGACTTTACGCTTACAAAAGTCAAACGTATTTCACAGAACACCCCATATTCTTGCATGTCCAAAAAACCAAAGCTTACTACGACTACCGACAACTATTCGACAAAAAAAATTATGCAAACGACTGACGACAACATCGATAAGCCCCACGGATTAGTCTTGAAAGTCTGGAGGCTCGACGAGATACCATCGATTTCCTTTGTCAAGAAAACACCACCTCGAGTAGACAATCCGAGTACAATGATTGAAATAATCGACACAGACTCGGCCGAGAGCGAAAACGATAGTTCCTACTTAGACGGTAAATGATTATTCCATAAACTAGACTTAAATAAACAGCATTATTAAATAATATTTGAAAAAAGATAAATAATATTTTTTTAATTATAAAACCGAAAAACTAAGCGGTCGGATTAAAAATTAATAATTTTGCTTGCAGACGTGCCGCAAGATTTGAACGAGAAAAAGAAGAAACCGCCTTCATACGATTCGTTTCTCAGTCGCAAGTCGTAGTACAGCGGCGACACGATCAACGCGTATTTAAGTCTAATTGCATCGCATTCGCTAGGCAAAGTGCACTACCTGATCACCGATTTTATGGAGGTGCTTTCTCGACGGGGATACGCAGGCGTGAAAAAGTGGATCAAAGTCGATATACACTCTTTAAGACTCTTGTTGGTGCCGATGCACGTGAACGGCAACCATTGGACCATGACTATGGTCGATGTATCCAAAAGGACCATAACGTTTTTTGACAGCCACAACTCCTACAATGGCCCCTACCCATCGTTATTGAGACAATTTCTTATTGACTGGGAGATCGAAAACTACGGATATTTTTCCCAATGGATATTACGGTACGGAAAAGCGGTGCAACAACGCAACGTTTATGATTGCGGACCGTTCTCTTTGGAACTGGCCGAGAAGATGTCCAGAAACGACGACACGCCGATCAACCCCTTCACAATGCCTTTTATCCGGTTGAGGCACAAGTATGAACTAAAAGCCGGCACGTTGTTCCAATTTTGACGTATATTTTTGATCATCAAGATTCAATTTTACCGATCACGACCTTATTTGACTTCCGTTAAACGGCCTACTCGTCAAAACTCATTAAAACATGTAATATTCACCTTATAACTCTATTTTTCTGTTCCAGTCGCTGTACTTACAATTAGAACTACCGTGTTTAATTGAAGTACACGCTGGAGATGGTTTTTTTTTATTGAAACGTGTTTTTTACGATATTCAATGTGCAACGTTGAGTTTTTAATATCGTATTAACATCGGTTCGATGTTTTTCGATTTCGTGAGAAATATTATACATTTTGTACTTTTTTCATCCAATTTTTGTACTATAATTTTATGACAGTACTTCTTTTGTATTTACATACAAAAAAATTTATTATTATTGTTATTTTATATATATATATATATTAAGGTGGTCTAAAAGTGACAAAAAAAAATTTTTTTTTTTTTTATGTTATACTCCTACACTTGAAAATTGTTCTACCTGGTTTTATATACAATTCTCAAGAAAAAAAACACGAAAAATTAATTTTTGAGCCATCCCAAGCTATTTGAAAATTTTTAACTTAAAAAAATAATAATGAAAACTATTTTATGTATACGTTCTTATATTTTTTTATCAATAAGTCAAGCTATATTATATAAATCATTTTTAACATTTCTAATTTTACTTACTAAAGAATTAAAAAATTATATAAAAGTTGAATTGCTTTTTTTTAAAGTGTGTTTGCTGCAATCAGGGTAAATCTTCCGATGCTCAGAAACTACTTGTAAGAGAAACTGAAGTTGATCCTCATCATGGGTAATTTTGCGATTAAGGTCTTGGATCAATGAAACTCCTCTTTCTGCCACGTCATTGGTAACTCGAAGATTCTTAAAAACTTCCTCTGCTTTTAAGTAGCTTTTAGACTCGGTCCAGTTTACCACGTCATTTTTCAAAAATTCATCGACACCAAATTCTGTGAAAATTTGTATTGTATTTTTGTTAGCTAAATCATGAAGCTGTAAATTTTCTATATCGTGTTGGTCAATTTTCGGTCTTACATTGGGAACTTCTGGAGAGGGGTTATTATTTATGGCGTAAATTATCGTATATTCTCTGTAATCCTTTGAATAATAGCCGAGTTTGCTATAACGTATGCAGAATGATCAATTTTAGACCAAGAAGATCGAAATCGTACAAACATTCGGTTATCAGGGCCTGTTGTCGCTGAAGGTAACACTGCTTGAAATGCTGCTCCAATGACTAATTCAAAAATATGATATCTGCATGCAAGCCAAAATAAGTTTTTTCCAAGTTTATGTTCTAATAGTACACATGACCCATTGTTTTTACCAGTATTCGAAAATGTTGTATCAAAACACATTGCAACGATATTTTTGTATAAATTCCATTCTTTTTCACTCAAACAATCGAAAACGGTTTGTGCCTGCATTTCTCCTGTTGAACAAGATAATTTTTTAATACTCAGTAATTTAATTTCATCTCCACCTGACACCAATACTGGGAGACAGTCCACATATTGTAAATGAGTGAGGTCCAACATCAGTTTTCCATCCCAGTGAACTGTTAATTTGCTGTTTATTGTAAATGATTCTTTAATAAAACTAGCCATTTCTTGCCTTAATTTCTTACGATGTAGTTTTATCGTACTTTGACTACATGCAAACGTATCAATATTCTCTCCAAGACTTTTTAGTGTAGCTCCAATGATAAAGGTGGCTTGCCGATCACTGACCTTAGTTCTATCTAGCACAGCTGATAATTCTGATGTGATCAAAGGTTTCAATTTCTTTTTACTTTTT